TATATGGAGAGTTAGAGAGACAGGAAGTAAACAATTAACACAAAAGATGAAGGTGGTTAGCAACGTTCGTTTGTTGGTTAGTGTTCTTCATTGTATATATAGTACGTAATCCACGCCTAGTTCTCTCGATTACATTTATGCACATGTTTTCCAATTATGTCACTTAGACTTATATATATATATATATATATATAGTGACACGACGATAGCAGCGAGGAAATCGCGCATGAAGAAATTCCGTTCGGTAAATTCCACCGGTGCATCGCCTCCCTTTAGTCGTGATCATGTAACGCCTAGATTTCTTTGCCTTTTTAACGGAGTGTAATCTCGTCACGCGACCAACTCCCGGAGAGATTGATTCTGTTGTGACCTGACTGCAACTCGATCTGACAAATGACGATTTCATTTCAGGCCAGCTAAGTTTGCACACTTTGCTCATATATTCAACAAGTATAACCCTCAAATCTGGATAAGCCCTACCTTAAATTGTTCTTGTAGTTTCGTCTATTGCTTTAGCCAGGGTATTGAGGTAACCCCGTCCATTCGTCGGCGCTGACTAGATATGGACGTTTGCTCTGCTAACGTTCCTCACAAAATCATTTCGTTTATCATCATTGGCTTTTATGAGATTTGAGTTTCGAGTTTTGCTTGTACCAGACTTTTATAGCTAACCTTGCTGAGAAACACACTACTGTTACAACAATCTACACTGTCTCTTCTCTGTGTATATTCATAATGTCAGTAAGATAAGCTTACATATGCGACAGTGTAAACGCACTAGCACGGACGATTGAACGCATTTCATAGCGGTACAATATGGCCGGCAGCCTACTTCTCCATTCGTTCGTTAAGTAAGATGGGCTAACTTTCAATATCTGCTTCATAATCACAGCCTTTTGTGAGTGTCTGTGAATACTGTGTGTAACTGACTGGACGTTAACTCGTGCATTTTGACTTATACCGAATCCGGCTCTAGTCGATCGTAGACAGAATCCTAGGATCGAGTATAGCTCAATTTACTCAATACGTTTGACATTTGATAATACGGCTGATGTCCCGCTGCTTTACTACCACTGCCGCTGCTGTTGCTACTGCAGTCATTGTGAAGGAGCACCTTTAGCGTTAGTATTATGCCCACTCGCTAAAATGTGTCCGGATCCCGATTTAGTGATGTTATCCTTTGGGTAAGATCACGCAGACAAAACGAAGCACTCCATCATTAGTAACTGCAGAATTTGTACCATTACCAACAACGGTATGCGTGATGTCACCTCGTCCTCACACTGGGACCAGTCATACCGCCAATCAAAACCCATATTCTACCCACCGTAGTTAGCTAGCTGGATGCTTCGCCAACTAATCAAGTACATCAGCATGACGAGTACTTTTGCATCTTCTCGGCCAGCTGAGTTCCCGTCTGCGCATTTGCTGTAAACTGATTCATCCGTATTCAGGAAACAATTATCCCAGCACTACCTTTTTGCAACTGTTTATGTCCTTGTGTAATTTAAATGTCTCCCATTTATCCTTAATGACTAACGACGTTTATTGAGTCGATGTTTGTGGAACGGAAACAACTACAACAGGCTTCAGAGATTGCGACGATGTCGTGATGAACTGCTGTCCAGATATCAGAGGGAACTGCGACACCTGGAAACAAATAATTTGTATATGATACCCATCATTTTTAGCTTCTCAGTAAGTAAATTTGCTCAGGAACCGATTTCTGCACGGACCTTTCAAGCAAACGAGCTCAACCTCTTCACATTGTCCTGCTGACGAGTGTTCGACTTATATATCACCTCTAATGATTTTAACGCCATATTATTGGCGCGATTTTTAAACGGCTTCAAACTTACCGGCTTGATAGAAAGTGTTGCTGTTGCACCGCCAAGTTGGACTTTACCGAGCGGCGCAACACCTGCAACAATCTGCGTACCATGGTGATGGGCTGGTTGAGGTGGTGCAGCCTGCGTGATCACCGTTGCCATGGATGTAACTGGTTGACCATTACCAGGGGTAGCGACGCCTGCTCCGCTGGTTTTATATGCGCCTCCTGAAGCTGGTCCAGTTTGCGCTAGGAAGAGCTGAGCGGCCGCCGCTGGTTGAGTACTATGGGGGTGGCCACCGGCCTGAGCTATCGTAGCAGCGGCTTGAGACGATCCTGCTGTGCCAGCCTTACCTGCCACTCCGTTCAGACCTCCCCCTCCTCCATTCACGCCGTTGGCGGTCGTCGCTGTCGGGATTTGCTGTACCTAAAAATATGTTGACGATTTAATTAGGAGCGCTGACATTTTCAAAATGTTGACGATAAATATATTTAGCTAAGCAAACATCTGTGATCAAATGGATACTCAAGACAAAGTATAAACAGGAATTGACAAATTTGGAAAACATGTTACGTTATGAGAAAAATAATGGCTTTTTATATTTATTGCTTTCCTTTATTTTTATTATAACCCTTCGCTATGAATCACCTCTTTAGTATGACAACCTTTCTGCCCGCAACGAGGGTCTAGCTTGGGTTGGCCTTCCCAGACCTATTTTTTTTCGTTTGTTCATGATCCGGTCTTATATACCATTGAAAGGCTTTTCGTTGCTTCTTAAGGATCTGTCAAATCACACATTTTTTCCTGAAGTTCGAATTCCAAATATCACTGTCTCGGTGGTCAAAGAAGTGAATTCGAGACCTTTTGCCGATGTTAACAAGTTGCAGCGGTCCCCTTCGAACCCTATCCCAAGTCTTCCTCGTCACCTAACCGAGTTGTTTTGACAGTTCTTTGACCTTGGTGAGAAGAAGTGTCGAAAATGTTGGGTTTTTTGTCACCTGAATTCTATCTTTGAAGCCCAAAATCAAGGTAAAATGCTGTTGAAATCCGGAAAAAACAATGACAACAGCTTAGTAGAGTAATGAAATAGGTACACTACTCGACCATCATCAAACGAAAAATTCGAAAAGGTAAGAGCAAGATAAATAGCAGCGGTCATTGCCTTGCAACCGATTATCAAAATCAGAGATACTAACGAGTGTCAGTGGCTGAACGAGATGTCCACTGGCTGCGAGTCGCACCACACTTCCGGGCTTGCACATTAGTGGAATTTGACCCATCGAAGGCACCATTGATGAGCCTATTGAGGGCACCATCGTGGGCGGAACTACGGAAGCCACCATGGACCCTCCTGCAGATACCGACGCCATGGGAGCAGACGACACCGTCACGGTTAGCTCGCCATGTGGACTACCGGCTGCGCCAGCATTGCTGTTGACGGTGGACGCTTTTATGTAGGACACAGTGTTTGCAGCATGAAGAAGTGTAGCCAGATTGCCCGTGTTCGGCAGATACGTTGGCAAAACGGTTTTCTGGTTGCCGGGTGTGAAGATGGCCCGTGGTGGCTCCATGGCCATTGTCGCCGTTGTCGGAGACAGCTCAAGGTGCTGGCCACTATCGGCTGGCGCCTCCAAATTACCTGCCAGTGTCTTCGTGGTTGCTCCTGTCGAGGTCGTCACAAAAGCAATGGCTTGATTCGCGCCTGCAGCCCCAAGGCTATTGCTTAGCTGAGACCCACCGTTGGTCCCAACAATTGAGACCTTCCTGTCAACAGGCTCTTCTTTGATTTCATGCCGAGCAATTTTATGTAGCCCAGCAGTCGCCTAAGAACAAGCAACGAGTTGTCTTGATTAGAACTAGCTGAATTTCAACAAATGAAATGACTTAGGCAAGTGCACGTAGCAGTGAATGTGCGAAGCCACAAGGTTTAAAAATCTCATAGAATATCTTTTACATTGATGCGCTAGTTAGATCCTTTTGAAATCTAGCCTCTCTTTCCAATGTTTGTTGGCCAAAAGGCCCAGCACACTTGTACCTACGAGAACGAACAGTTTTTGCAACGAATTGGTGATAATCGAAGAAGTAGGGCAAGAGTATGCTACTAACCTGTTGATAAATGGGATTAACAGCTGGCCCTGTTGCAATCACTGAAGCCCCACTTCCTGAAGTTACCGATATCGTAATTGGTTTGCACTCCTCTTTGGTGTCTACCGTAACGCAATCCTCAGCAGACTTGATCTGAACAGCATTGACCATCAGGAGAACATATACATTAACGTTTAGTATTTGTATATATACGCATATCGACATTGCACATTCCGAGACGTTTATTTCTCTAAATGATGTCGGTTATGCGTTAATAATTGCACATAAGCATACAAAATCACATAAGTACTTCTCCTTCCGCTAGATCTTAACTAACGAAAGTTGTATATAACAAATGTTTCCAGTCAACCTTTTAAGCATCATCAAGCCTACCTCTTTCGTAGAAGTGTGGCTTAGTCTGCCTTTAATAGGGATGTTGTTGTTGATGTTGTTGAAGACAGTAACATCGCTCGTATGGGTGCCGTTGCTTCTGTCGTCCTGTTTCTTGTTGTTATTATTGTTGCCCGTGCTATCTTGTATTGGACTTATCGTAACGCTGCCCACTGTTGTTGTTGTTGTCGTTGTTGTAGAGGGCAACGACATTCTCACCGTCGTTGGTAGATCAGTTTCAGCGCAGATAGACGCAAAGCCACTATTTGCCCCTGCGGGCATTGTTGCAGTTGCAGTGGCTTTTGTGGGAGCAGTAGATGCTGCTACAGTTGGCACTGCTTCTGCGGGCGCTGTTATTGTTGTTGTTGTTGTTGTTGTTGTCGTTTTTGTACCTCCCAGGCGATGATGGTGATGATGATGATTGTGATGTGACTGGTGAGTATGATGATGGTGGTGATGGTGATGATGATGATGGTCTCGTTCTCTTTTCACTGTTTCGCCAGAAATAGTAAAATGGAAAAAGTGGTAGAAGCCAGACCGCCATCATCACAGATGTACGCAAACCGGCAACAACATACATAGACAACAGAAATTGTAGGCCGTGGTTTATGATATAATTGATTGATTGATTGCATCCATTTTATACGTTATGCAAACAAAGAATTAGTCTTTCGAAATTGTTCACCCGGTCGAGAGTAGGCACTTATAGTTCACGAAAATGTTTAAATTCAAGCCTCTTTTCTACTGAGCTGTCTAATTTTGGCACTCAAAACAATATTATTGACATCAGAATCTGCCCTCGAATGAAAAATGATTCATAGGTCACACTCCAGTGATCCAACAGATCTTAAAGTTAAGGTTACTTACTCTTTGATCTAAGTGAAAAGTTCACTTAATTCAGTAAAAAGTTCACTTGATGACATTGATGACTATTGATTGAAGAACGGGGTTAACATATGCTTACCCATACTATTTATTGCTGTTGATACTGTGTGATGACGGGGATGCTGGTTGTTACTATTATTGTTATTATTAGCGGTTTGAGGAGCTTGTTGCTGCTGCTGCTGCTGCTGCTGCTGCTGCTGCTGCTGCTGCTGCTGCTGGCCTCCCGCCTGTGATGTTAACTCGAATTCATCACCTTCATAGTCACTTAGGTTGCCACATTCTAAGAAAAAAAAAGTCGAGGAAAAATATTACCAAGCAATAAATGACGCAAGTGACAAGGATTACTCTAGGCAGGAAACTATGGTAACATAAGTAACTAGATACCACGAAGACCTAACGCCAAGGTAGGTTCTTTTTAGAAAATGGGTGGTATTGATGCCTTATTTATTTTTCCTTTATGATTATCGATGTGGAGAACGATACTACAGATGACCGATGGGTACCTGATGCCGTGGTAGTTGTCTCATTGTCAGGTGAAACGCTTCCGCGCCGCTTAAGCTCGTTGGCCGTAAGCTTCTCATTTGCGCGTTCATTCGACCCCGTCGTTACCAATAACGTACGTCGTTGAACGTCGCTGTTCCCTAAGCCTGCGAAAATATCCAGCCCAAATGTAAAGGTATATAATGTAAACTGCCCGTGATACCTTTCGTTATATGGCACTCATTATTATTTCATTGCGCCTATTATAAGTGTGCATCGATTCAGATATTCACACTGTTACTGTAGTACCTTTCACAAAGTTCTCAATATATTTTCCGTACTATTTCGTATTTACCATCTGGTTCGATTGCCTCTCTGCTACCTATATAGAGTTCGGATGGCTGACATGTCAAACAAATATTTTGCCAATCTTCTCTCACGATGGTCATCGATAGTAATAATTATGAACGGGTACGAACTTGTCGTTAAATGAGTTGCATTAGATGCGACAACGCTAGTTACTGCTGCTGCTGCTGCTGCTGAAGGATGACGACTATTGCCGTGGGCAGGTGTGACTATCGTCGTTGCCCCTGTGGCCGTCGTCGTAGTGGCCGATAAAGCCGATGATGAGCTTGTTGCTGTTGTCGATAATGCTGATGACGTTGTACAATGATGCAGATGATAAGTAAGTGACTGACTATGGTTTGTGTTATCATACAGAGGAAGCACGCAACTGCCATCCCTGCGCAATGTGGCTAACCGTTGCTGAGCGGAGATCTTCTCACGTGCCAAGTGCTCCATCTGCTGCTCGAAATCCCTTTCCTTCTTTTTTAGGTTTTGAATGTACCTGTGTATATATTTAAACGATTATTCAGGTGTCATCAACAAAGCATAGGAATAGCTGGTATTATTTTAAAGTTATCCTTGCTACATGATTGACAAGAAGCGGACACTTCCCCATATTAGTAATTTGGAACTCATAAAATAAAGTCACTATCATTGTTTAAAGTCGATCTTGCCTTTCGTCGAAGTTATCCTTACCAAGGGAGCGTGAATTTGTTTTAGTCTGCTAATTTATATATGCACAAAGGGCTTCCTTTTGGTTACATCTCTGCTTGGAGTGAGTGGCAAATACGTCTAAATGCTAGGTGCTGTCATGGATACATAGAATTATAAAAACAGAAACAGAAAAATAAAACAGATACATGGAGCACTGAATTAGGGATGTAGTATACCTGAGGGCAGATCGTAGAATGGTAAGGTTGCTCGTTTTCCGATCGTCTTGAATGTTCGGTAGCTGTTTCTTAAGACTCTCGAAGCACTCTTTGAGATGGGCACGCCTATTCTTTTCCAGTTTATTATGCACTTCACGTGTACCAGCCCTATGAAATCAGAAGAGACGATATGTAGGCCTGTACCATTGCAGAACAACGAGGTACCTCAATAATCTCTGAATCCTAGTCGTAAATATATGTGTTCAGCAATAGACAAAATTAGGAATGTTCAATTAAAAGAATTCGGTTTTTTTCTCATATGCGTTATAAATACCAACTAAAGACGCTAACAACGAATTCTACTAAACGTAGGCAAACATAGTATTCGCAGTAGCATTGACAATGAATAGCTGCTACGGGTGGACGACCTTTTACTGATCCTGTTTATTTTCATCTTCGCACGGGTGAAGTGAATATCTTTGACAAGATTCAATCATCCATATGATGCCGGGAGTTTTTCTTTTATAACATGCATATATAGTAGAACTTACCCTCCACTTCGGCGCGACTGTTTATTGTGCGGATCGCGGCTGCTATCGTCATGGGACGATAGCGAATCTGTACGCTGACGTGACGCGGCACTGCCGCTACGCTGGCGGTAGCCTGTAGATGTCGTGACGCCCGTCGAAGATAAAGCAAGGGAACCAGGCCCAGTACCAGCAGTACTAGCTAATGCTGCGCCTAGCGACAGTGGCAAAGGCGGTGAATTGCTGCTACTGCTGCTGTTGCTGTTCGTGTGCTGCGGCGCGTGATGCTGCTGCGGCTGCTGATGGTGGTGTTGGGTGGCTCCTCCCAAAGTCACGTGATTGTTGCTACTGCCCGCACCGTTACAGTTGCTAGCACTATTAAAACTGTTACTGCCTCCACCACTAATATCACCGGCAGAGGTAGCGGTGTGACTGTTCGCTGTCGTAGCACTTGAATTGATGCCATTTGGCACGTTGCTAGCACCGCTGCTCAGCTCCTTGTTGCTAATGCTGTTCTGATTGCTTCCATGGCTACCGTTAGTGCTGCTTTTATTACCGTGGTTATTAGCAGGTGTCGCCGCGACAGTGGTGCCACCTGCTGACAGCTGTGTAAACGTCGTATAGTCATGAGGTTCCTCACCTGGAGACATCATGAACAAGACGACTCATCATTAGACAAAAACGGGCATTTATCGGAAAACAATGGATATAAAGCTCACGGAAAGAAAGAGCAACAAACAACAGCGAAACGTATCGAATATGAAAAAACGAGTTGCCAATTCTTGCATCTTTCTCCGAACGAAACTGGTTGTGTGATAAACAGCATACGGGCGTAATTTTTATGCCAGCTAGATTCACCCCAAAATGCGAAAGACCGTCTCTTTCTGCTTTTCCTATAGGCATAGTTGTTTGTCTATTCGCATCTGTCTATATCTAAACCTGCCGGCCAAGACGACAAACTTTTCGCCTGTAAATTTTTCAGTTTTTCTTTGACTTTCGATTTGCCCGAAATTTTTTTATCTCGAAAAACTTTTTTGATCCGCTGACTTTTAAGCTCTTTGACAACTAGTTGCACTTAATCTAGGTTTTGGTTGGAAAAAATTTCTTATGAAATACCTGGATGTCAAAGGCTTTGAGGTTACGTGAAGCAAAACTGTTCAAAACTGATAATTTTGAGTACACATTGAAAAAGAGTAATACGAAAGCTTTAATCTTTCCTTAACATTTATTGCACGAAATCATAATTATTAATAGATACGCAAATACGACTGGTTGCCGAAAACCGTGTCACGCACTGGTGACGATGCTTTGCAAAATGGTACATGTGGGCTGGAACTTGTTGGACTAGAACTAAACCAAGTTATACTTTCACACCATTTAGAGGCCTCTGAGCAAAACAAAGACATTAATTACATGTGTACTAGAAAAAAAACATTGTTGCATGCAACTATAAATAATAAGCCCTACATCGGCTAGTTAAGTGAGACTAATGTGGCAGCACTTGCAATGAAAAAGCTTTTCATACATCGGAAGTCAAATGATTGATGGACCGAAGTTGTACGCAATATTTGGTGTTTGGTAATTGTTACCTCTTGCGCTGGCCTCGCTTTTGTATTCGAGGTAGCGAGCCGCCTCGAGCAGCGTGAAGAGACTCATTCCTTCTGTCTGCCTGCCGACCGGTCGCAGTATTATCTTAATTTAAATCACTCGGATACGCGAAGTATTGCCAGTTCGGGCAGCAGCACAGCGTTACAGGTGTTTTATTATTGGCCAACGGGCCTTCCGCCAGCTGCCAGGACGTAAATTGCCAGCTTAAGTTACGGCCGCCCACACACTGCAGAGGCCCCCCGCACTTCACTGCCGCACTTTCTCGAGCAGCTAGCGCTGGCGATTACGCCAGCGGTAGCGGCGGCAGTCGTACGGGGGCCCCAGCGGGGCTGAGATAGCCACAAATTGACCCAACTGCGGCCTCGTCCAGCTGCAGCTAAGACAGCAACCGCTCGTGCGACAGGCCAAGCGGAAAAGCTGTCTCGATCGATCGACGAAGCACGCCGCCGCGGGTGTTAAAGGTACGCAGCTTCAACTTATTCTGAAAAAAAAAAAAGACAGCAGCAAATAACTTATTAATGGTGCAGATAGATTAATATGTAGGGGAAAGGCAGCCCTCCTCGATGGCTGGCGAAACAGTATATAGTCAAACGAATTATTTTTGTTTAGCAGTCTAAGAGAGCGTTTGCATGACCACAGTTACAAACAGAATGGCTTCTTAACCTCACTGTAAAGAGTAGCAGGCAACGACGCCTTGGAACAGCCCCGATGAACATCCTTGTATAAGGATATTTTAACTTAATAGACCAAATACTATCCAAATTCAATGGCATGAACTCTCAAAAGTCTCGTAAGTGAAAAAATAAACGAAAACTGTTCCTCTTTGAGGACGTAATGCTGCAACCTAAATAGGTCCATAAGATTTATTTTCTACGTATTAGGTTGTTATATGAATAGTATCGCTTTACCAGCTAACAAAAGGTACAACATTTTACCCTGTATTTGGTATTATTTCCTGCAATTTTGACATTTATTGACTCCTTCTCACCTGAAATCTTAAAACCTGATATTAAAGAACCAGTTCTTGGGACTTTCTTCGTTGTTAAATGCATTGTTAAACATTCCATTTGCCGGTGATCGGAAAAGGTAATTGCTTACGGGGTCTTGTTCGAAAGACGCAACTTAGTCATATACGAAAACAGATCCTGACTGACCTTGATTTTTCAAGCATTTCTCAGCGTACGAAAACTTGCCAGTCCAACGAAACGTAAATGCTGGTCTTTTTGGAATAAATATTTGTCTAAATTCTGGGCTTAAGCGTATCTTCCGGAGTTAGCTATTTGCTCATCTTATTCATATTGATGTGGAAACCAGAGGTCTCGTCACCCGCAATGACTCTGTACAGAAATCTGACGTTGTGGCTACGTGTTGTTCGGCGCCGAAAGAAATGTTGCAAGTCATTGAAAAACCATGTTTCCTCGTACGCTTCATCCAGTCTATAGCAAACTTGAACTAATTTTTGATAGTATTTCATTGGATGGTCGATTGTTGGCATTTGACTTTCTCAGTCAATTAACGAGTTTTTACGTCATCCAAGGTCTCCATCGGCCTCGGATGGCCAGTCAGGACGAGGGTACACCCTCCAGGTTCAGGAACCCATCTTAGAATCTTTTCGAGCTCTTCTCTTAGAGTACTTGCTACGTACGGCTCAAATATCGCGGGCTGTTTTCTTTGGCAGCTGTTCATCTACGGCAAAAGACGAAATAAGGCACATATCAAAATAGAAGCACTTTTTTCACCCGAATACCGACTACTATTCAATAAAAGTGCAGCGGATTCATAAAGACAAGAGAAAACACTCCCGAATAAGCTACAGAATTTAGCAAGCAGTGGGAAAGCAGAAGGAAAATGGCGTATTAGAGTGATCAACATTACTTGTGTACTCGAAGCCTAAACGCAGCGTCAACGCGAGGAAAAAAGCAACAGGCCAATTGGCCACAGGCGCACGAAAGAAATCACTAATTCGTTCCCGCTAATTTGGCAGTGAAATGATAAGGGTAATGATTTATGCATAAAAGAAAAAACTTTACGTAAAAATGCGAAAACAAGTCATCTTTTTTGTTTTTCATCGCACACGTAGCGCAGTATGTGTGGACTAGCTATACCGCGATGCAAATTGTTAGGTTGCATTAGATTTTTAAGTGAGCAAACGTATTTGGCCTAAAGGGCAAAAATCCATTATCACCTAAATATTGCCTTCCATTTTGTGTGCCTGAACTGGCACAACTTGAAAAGCTGTGTAACCTAGTAGTGAAGCGTGTATGTAATACTTGTTCTACTCGAATGGAAACCTAAACAAACCGTACAAAGCTGGTTTACACGGCAGTATACGGCAACCTATTACGTTTGCTATCAACTATTCAAACTTAGCAGGACAAATGTAAATACTCCTCCCTAGTTTTCGCCTAATAACAACTGTGTGTCACGAACAATAGACACTATAGATTCATTGATTACCCACGCTACACAAGGCACTCGAGCTCGTCTGCTCAATTTTTGATACTTGCATTGATGAAACAATGACTAGCTGAAGTGAAAGTCAATTTCTAGTGTTTTTATGATGCGATACCTTTGAACGTATATCGCAATCGAGCTATATAATAGGTCCATACATAGCTTGTTCGCCTATCCTGGGCCACTGAAGGGCTAATGCTTATTGCTCAGTTAACTGTCACAGGCATTACATTAACAGGCGGTCTGGCGTTACTCGGTGTTCCAGCCATTTGCTTAGTAAGCACCTATGGCAGCCATAGATAGCAATGGCAGGCTTAAATGCAGATCTACGGCGACGCCAGGCTACGATAGTAAATGACAAATAAATGTTCATAACAGATTTTAGCGAATCGAATTGCGCGCGTCCGTGTATTGAACAAATGCTACATATTGAATTAAAGGTACAGCAGAAAACACTGGATCACTCGTCAGATACTCTCCCGTCGACGGAGATACGGAGTGTGCGACAGACACATTTTCGTATCGCTGGCACTATAAAGGCTTTCGGTTAGTGTTTGATAGATGATAATAAATAGATCCTTTTTGTCATCTTCTCATGTTGATACTTTAAATGAAGTTTGTTTAAAATTAATGTTCTAATGTAGCTTTGCTTTAGTCGAAAATGTATCATTTTTATTTAGTTTGTTTTATTTGTTAGCGAGCGCTAATGTTATAGACTGTTACACCGCGAAGCTCACATGACAGCCTCGTCACAATGCGTTCAGGATAAGCAGTAGGATCGTAGCCTATCCTGCAGTTCACATTTTATGATGGTGTCACGAGTTCATAGGTATCCAAGGCTTTTATTATTATCCTTAAGGTCCTAACTAATGTCATCAAACAAAATTTCAAGGTTACATTACGCATTATTGCTATTCAATATGTTAATAAACGACGTTAAACACTTGAGCAAAGCTCTTTTTTCCTCCCTCCATCTAGTTGTTTTATATATATATATATATATATATATATATATATGTATATAAAACATTGGATATGTATATGGATTGTCGAGAAAGGTATTAACCGTTTTCCTAGCTAAACTTTGAAGTCACACATCTTAGGTAATATGAGTCACGCGGGTCGGCGCTGGTGTTATTCGAAAGTAGTAGATGTGTTTGAACGCCTGTGTTTAGACTCAAAGCAGCGCCTCAAAGATGGGTAAGATCAAAATTCAAATTCATGCACAAATTCACCACATTTTACAATTTTCTAACGATAAAGGCACAAATGCTGCCCAGACCCATAAAAAATTTGCGCTTTTTATGGTCAGGATACGTTATCGGACGAAGCAGCCCAAAGATGGTTCTGTTGCTTTTGCTCTGGAAATTTCGATATGAAAGACGCTCCTCGTAGTGGTCGACCAATTACGAAAAAAGTACGCGATTAGCAGCCATGATATCACCAAGAAACTAAACATCTGCCACCAAACAGTTTCAAATGATTTGAAGGAAGCTGGCTGCAAAAAAAAACACGATGTTTAGGTGTTACACGAATTGACCTGATAGACTTTACTCGACCGTGTTTCCATCTGTGAAACATTACAGAAACGCAGCGAAATCGAGCCGCTTATAAAGCGCTTGATCACAGGTGATGCAAAGCGGATCGCATACGACAATAATGTGCACCTAAAAAGTAAACATAAAAAAATGTGCTTCACAACATGTGACAAGATTCAGTGTCACACCAGAGAATATGGTGATACCGTATTCGGTTGAATTGGAAAGGGACGTTCACTATGAATTTCTGTTGGCTGGCAAAACAATTGATTTGGACCCTGCTATCATAGCCGGGATCTTATTATCAGACTATCAGTCGTTTCGGTCTCTTGAGAATTTCCTTAACGATGTTAACTTAGTTTCAAAAGGGGAATGGATAACTTGTCACAATTTTTCGCCCGGACACCACAAACGTTCTACCGTAATCGGATTATAGTATTATCAGAAAAATATCTGAATGTGATCAGAAAACATACCGCTGGCAATTCAACTAGTTACGATATCGTATGCTTTGGCCACGTTACATTATCTAGGACATAAGTCGATGAGTTTAATTGACTGGATGCATTTGCTAGGAAGAACTAAATCTAAGGACAGAATAAAAATAGACTATCGTTATTATAATGCCAAGTCGGCTATGCTACTTCGAGGTAGTGCGCAAAAGTTCTAGTCACCGTTCCAAATGTCGTTACATAACATTTCGAAAGAAGCGACTTATACGGTTTCAATATATTTATTGGCTTATATGAATAACCAGCTTTCACCTAGTCCCCTTCCGCGAAAAACCTAAATGAAAAATTCTTTTATACACTCAAAACTGCCACCTCAGTGAGGGTTTTCTCTGCTCAAGACCATGGTGGACGATGCAACTTCATGCCATTTTTGCCTCTCTTTTCACCCTGAAATCATGCGGGCCCGTCCATGTAAGGGCATTTGGTCATATACTTTGTGACACTACACAGACCTTCGGTACGAAAAAAAAATAGATTCATCACCATCGTAACACGATTGCAAAGTAGAAGGAATCGACTGATCGGTTATGAGTTACATTTTTACTGTAACCTGCATAGATTTTGACGTTTGTACTGACGGCTAGAGGAAGCGGATAGTTAGGCTACAACCTAACCACTATAATGGTGTGGTATATCGTGAAACTATATAGTCGTAGCGTAGAAGATGCACATTACGTATATATTATACGACAGAGATAGGGATAGTGCTGACGATCACCACACGCTGTGCTGTTGCTGCACTCAATGACAGTGGGCAACGGTGGCGTGTGGTCAATGAATAAATAACAATTCAGCTTGACTTTGTGGCTGGCTGCCTGCCTGCTGCCGCAGCAGCAGCAAATGCCTGGAAACAGCAACGACGTCACTATGATCATTATCATCGCCAACAACGCTTCCTGCTAGGGGGCGACAACTGAAAGCGTGCTAACAACAACAGTACTACTCACGGAAAGCCAACTTTCAGCCCACCCCCTATGGCCACCTATCATTCGCAGCGCCAGTTTCGCCTCCTTCGCCCACCTCTTCCTTTATTCATTCATCCGTCCACCCACGATTTGTCTAAACTGGACAGAGCAGCCCCAGCGATAGCACTAGTCACCTACCCGAAGCTGCTTCTGCTGCTGTAATAATTCTGCGTCGATGCCAAGCGCTGTTCTTTTCGTTGTAATTTCGTAGCAGCAGCAGCAGCAGCAGCAGCAACAGCAGCAGCAGCAGTAGCAGCAGCAGCAGCAGCAGCACGGCTGCAACAGACGCCGCACAGAGAGGGCAGCAGGCAGATAGACAGGGAAGGGGGAGAGAGACAAAAAGATTTGCACGCGCACGCACTCTCTCACAAGGAGATGATCGCTGCTGCTGCTGCTGTTAAGGTACTCCGCTGGCATCAGGCCCCCACCCACTGCAGCAGCAGCAGCAGCAGCAGCAGCGTGATGCCACTACTGCAGCCGTTACCACCAGCATCACCACAACCAGCTGCTATATCCTGCTGCTACATTACAGTGTCCTGCCGCCGCTGCCACTGACGACGACAACATTTTCGCATCACAATTGCCGTCAAACTAAATAGTTACACCGACGATGCTGTCGTTGATGGTGGTAATGGTGCTGCGTAGTGTTATTATCGAACGACAAACGGTAGGTCTCTGCCACCGGTGATCACCAACTATCACGACTACAGTGGACACCGTCGCGTTGCCTCAATGGGTAGCGCTTGAGTAGTCGCTATTTAATCAACGACCGCCGTGGAACATTACGCAGGGCGTGAGAAAAAGACGCCGCCAACAACAACAACAACAACGTGAATAGGCACCACTCGAATGAACAGCACAGAAAAGGATCTCTGTCAAAGGCCGGGTCTGCATGTAATTTCTGTTGCGATCGTTTCCCTACTCCAAACTTCGCTGGACAACTACAAGTGCAACTTTCCGTCGACTCGTCGTGTTGTTTCTGCGATGGGTCGCGGAGTGGCTGGACGGCTAACAATACAGTGCACCCAGCGCTTGCGCCTGCCGTTGTTATTGAAACGTCGTCCCACGCGGAACGCCCGCCTGCTCACTCGCTGGCCGGTTGATATTAGTTCTGCTATTATGACAATTATTGTTACTACAACTCTAGCAGTATGATCATTCCCACAGGCGGCGGTAGATCACCATCGTACACATGGCCTTTTTGCTGTGAGCTGCCGGACACACTCTCGCACTTATCAACATGGTACCAGCATTAGCCGGTTCGATTTCTTGACTAGTCTCGATTAGCACGACTTCTAGCAGTACCGCCAGCAGTAGAAACTAATCACATTAACACAACTGCTCCTGCTGCCGCGGCCGACACGAGCTACACCGACCCGTTGAAATACTGCTCCTGCTACGTTGATCCGTTGTATTATCAACAGCACCGCTGTCGTCGTTGTTGTTGTTGATACTGTTGCTGCATCCTTTGCCTTTGCCACTGAGGCTGTTGTTGCTACCACCGTTTCGACTGTGGTCATTACAACAACTACAATCTATCAGTGCTGCTGCCACTGTAGCTCCTACTGCACCATGAGCAGCAGCAGCAGCAGCTACTGGTGCAGATACAGAAAACGGATAGTAGCGGTAGTAGTAGTAGTAGCAGCAGCAGCAGCAGCAGCGGCTGGAGTACATGTAGTTGTTGTTGTTACTGTGGTATAGTGGAGGGCAGTTGGAATAGCTGGCGATGGTGCTGATGATAGCAACAAAGACAGGTATGTAAGCAAGCAGCTAATGAACTAACTGACCGGTTGGTTAGTTGGCTAACTATGTAGCTCGATTATATCACTATAGGTTAGGCGGAGGGCCACTCACTCACCGAGTAGTAGTTTTAAGGCAGCTGGCCGTTTTGCCGTGCGGTGCCTGCCTGCCTGCCTGCTTGCTTTAATTTGGCCTGTGCTGATCGTCGACGTCGTCGTCGCTTTTCCTGGCTACCTAGTTCTAGGCTTGCCTGCTTGCTTTCTGCTTGCAGTGAATTGCAAGACCCCTGCTGCTGATGCTGTTCATAATAGCCAGGACATGGGCGGCAAGCCGCACAGGCAGGGACCTGGCCACCATCACTACAGCCATGCTCCCGACAGCCACGCCACCCAATACCCTCTCCCAATGAGATATACACACCGAGACACATCTCACTGATACACTCACACAGCCACACACACCCACACCCACACACACACAGACACACAGACCCACACACACACGTACACACGGTCAGACACACACTGCACACATGCACAAACACAGGCTCGCAAGAACACCCAGAACCCGTCAACACACACATACGCGCCCCGAGCTCTCAGCAGCGGCAGCGACAGACAGGTCTCTCTCAGGCTGACAGGAGGAGGCCAACTATAGGCCAACAGCTAAGCGGTTAGGCGGCGAGCGGACGGGTGGCCGAACACATCGACAAACAGAGAGCTAAGAGCGATCGCCATAAACACATACACGGACATCCCGCGCCACCAGCCCCACAGCTGGGTAGTCCAACAGCGACTTACTCATCATACCCACGCGCATACAGACCGAAGCGGGCTTTAGAGGCGGCGGTGGCAGTGCCGTACGCTCCCACAGCTGTGCAGCTCGGTATCAAGAGCTACTCTGCACAGTCATCATTAGCGGCCGACCCTTTCTCCTCGCTCTTTCTTTCGCCCCTTTTTCCCTCCTCGTTTTTAGCGGGAATCCGCCGTTTCTAACAACAACAACAACAACACTATCGAAGCCGCCGTCGCTAACAGCAGCACTACGGCTATCGGCGGCATCACAACATCAACAGCGGCGGCGGCTGCAGAATTAACAACCTTAACATCTCTGTCCGCCCGCAGCGTCTCGTTTCACTCGTGTCAAGTTGGCGTGGTCCGGCCTGAGTCGTGCGTAGCCGTCGCCATAGTCACCCACCTTTGGCGCTGATACTTTCATCCATTCGTCTTCCCGAACCGGCAGTCGTCGTCGTCGT